TGCGACTCCCTGCCATGAAATATGTCCATAAGCCAATGGAAATCTAACAGAAAATTTTCCGAAATTACAAGATGCCAAATCTGAAACAATACTCTGCCAAATCATCTGCTAGAAAGAAATGTTTGATGCCATATAGGATTTTCACATAATTTTATCACGTTATCCACATTCAGAAATACTCTTACGGAATAACACTTTAAAATTTCACTTAATTGGAGAACAGTTGAGCATACAAGTCTGTTCATGAATCTGTCAGATATATGTTAAAAAAGTTCTCCCAAAAGCCAATAATACTGTTGTTTCTTTCCTAGTTTGAGGAAAAAATCTCAATATGTGTACATGCTCTCAACTCCCGTGCAGTGGCTGACATATCAAGACATGGAACTTGAAACTTTTAGACTCAAAGCTTTGAAAGCTATAGAATTATAAATAACTTGGCAAAACTGCAATACATTGCACCTCAAAATAAATTTTCTTACATGGTGTATGGCTAATATAGAAAAGATTGCTTCAACAGCTCCAGCTGCTCCAAGAAGATGTCCGACAGCACCCTGTGGCAGTGTCACCAGGAAAATACAGATTCGATTCAATGTTTTCATAACAGAATGACAATGTTCTACACTAATATGAAATGACGAAAGTAGGGTAGAAAGGAAAGCTATTGTTCTCATTGATTTGTCTTACTGATAGGAAAAATTTTTGTTCCATGTTCTGTGTAACAATGTATCATTATGCATATTTTCCTTTTCCCATAAAAAGATGCACACTTATAGGACAACTGAGGTTACCTTAGTGGAGGACAAGGCCAAAGCACCCGATACTGCGTGACTTGAAAATAAAGATTGAATTGCTTTGGCTTCCACGGCATCACCTGAATGAGTTATTTAAACATGTTTACTCAACTTGCAGCATCATAACACTGAGGTTTCTGGAAGTTTATATAACGAAGCATTATTGACAAATTAGACTTACCCAAAGGAGTAGATGTAGCATGTGCATTTATGTAATCCACTTGATTAGGATCAAGANGTAATCCACTTGATTAGGATCAAGACCAGACTGCCAAACAGAGAAAAGGCAGGCATTTAATAAACTAATTACATTTTCCATTTCATTGATGTAAAATACTTGGGTGAGAAAGGATAAAGGAATAGCATATGCCTAATTATGTTCAAGATGCCTTAGATCAATCAGATGGAAGACATTAGAATCTACAAACATAAGAGAGAAGCAGCATGTAGAGTCCCTCTTTCGGAACTTCTATTATGCCTTGACTTGTTAAATACCGTCCTTTTGAATTTTGATATCATGAACTATAGAAAAAAAGGACAGTCTATTCTGCTTCTGAGGGCCCTACCTAAAAGGCAAATAGCAAGTGCAGAGGACCAAGGGAAGTTAATGTCATGGTTGAGCTAAATCTCAAC